TGAGGTTTCCTGGGTGGTCAATGGGTGGGCTTCTTCCACTTCTAAATGAGAGGAGGCTCTAATTCCTAAGAGACACAGCCCATTAAGGAAATATGAGAATGTAGCTCCTGATTACAAGGGCTATTTTTTCTTTTGTTTAACCAGAGATGATTGATATATGCCTGTTAAATTGGATTCTAGCTTGATGCACACCCTCTTTTTTAAACAAATGAGGAAACTGAAGCCCCAGAGAAATACTTTGAATTCCCCAAGCTCATGCAGTAAGTAAGCATCATGGTAGGGTTTAGAAGTCATGTCTTCTGCCTCCCAGATCCATCCTGGTACCTCTGTACCATGTTGTCTTCCAATCTGGAGCCATGCTTGTTTTCTGGGACCTGAGCCCAGAATATGTCCCTTGGTCACACAGGCTTCATGGAACTGCTCTTACCAATGAGCTTCTGGGGGGCCATCTATGTAGTTCATGGAGTGGTATTTTTGAATGTGTTCATTTTCACTGGTCTACGCCATTGTTGTTGTGTATATTGTGTGTGGGAGCAGAGGTGTAGACACCTAAAGGATACATTGGAGGAGAAAGCAACATTACATAATTATACCTTTTTAACAGATTGTGTTAGAACAGCACCACCACCATATTCCACACACTGATGCAACTATAACATACCCATTTTTCAGATAAGAAACTGAGGTCCAGACTGCTGAAATGACTTGGGAAAAGACATATGAGAAGAAATGCTAGGATGAGGAGCAGAATTTTGTTCGTCTTATTCCTAGGCCAGAACTCATTCTGGGCAGCCAGAGAGAATCTCTCTTGCTGCAATTAGGGATAAAGGTAGGACTATCCATCCCACATGATGATGAGCAATTTTCCATTTCCAGTCCACATGTGAGGAGAAAGGATGACTCCGTCCTCAGTTGGAATCATTAACTTGTGTTTCCCCTCATTACACAGAAACTGAATTTGGACTGGAGATATTATCCTGAACGTCTTCACTAACTGTTCAGAATTGGGCTTGTTCACTTCCAGTTTCCATCTGGGACTGGAAAAACACATTGCCAAAAGAATACCGGGAGAGAGGCTGCTTGTATGGGTTAACCATCTGGGCAACAGAAGAGAAATGCCAGAAATCTCCTGGGAAGCCTTCTTCCTGGTCTCCATCCAGCCTCATGCTCCCTTTCATTGTTGTTGTTTTTGTGGTTTAGCATTAGAAAGGAGGCAACAGGACATGAAATGATGTCTGGAGTTTCAGGGGCTAAGACCTTTCCTAGCCACTGATAACTAAAAGAATAATAAAGATATCATGAAGAATGAAAGAAGTACATGGGGTTCCCAAGGTGAGCGCTCATATTCTCTTCAATTCAGCCTAGTGAAGAACAGCACACATTCATCTTGAGAAGTCAGGTTGGTTAAAAATGAGGGCTTTGACAGAGTGCCAATGGAGGATGTTGGGAAGGGGGAGGGGACACTTCATTGTCTCCCAAGGTTGTCTTTTCAAAACGTCATCTTATTTGTACTTAGCACAGCCCAATGATTCTCTCATCAGCAGTCTTTCTTTCACTAGGGATGGATTTCAGGAGCTTTCAAGGCAACTGCCACCCTGCCTCCTGTGCCTTGAAGTGTTTCACTTCAAGCCCCTGATGCCGTGGTGGTGAATGAAATTGTACTTCTTGAGAAGGGTGGAAAGAGCATGCTTGGCCTTTTGGCCTGTCAATCCCATCTCCCCTTCTCTGAACTCAGAATGCAGATGGTTGTATTATTATTGTTATTGTTATTTAGCATTTGCTGAATGAATGTTCATGCCAAATTAACATGGATAAGGCATGATCATTGCCACATTCTCCCTCCTACCCACGTCTGTTCTTTTCACTGGGTTATTATTGGCTGGGTTATCTTTGGCATTTAGGAGCTGGTCACTACTAGCTCCTCTCTCATGAATTTCATGATTTGAACAGCGCAGGAAATCAAGGGAAACCCCTAGGAAGGACTTCAAAAGGGCATTCATTGATTCAGCCATTTCTTCCTATGGTAAAAAGAGGTCTGAATGAGATCAGGTTTTGTCATTTGCCCAGAAGGAGGACAGAGAACCATCAGGGGCCCTGGCTGCTATAGACACATTTCTGATTCTGATTGCTGTACACCTGTCCACTCTTACTGGAAGGGGCCTAAGGGGAACTCAAGAAAGGTCCTGTGCAGCAGAAAGTTGAAAACTTCCTTGGTCTTGATTTTACACATGTATTTGGAAGGGGCCTTTGATCTCTCTGACTTTGGCATTCTCGTCAGGAGGCCATGTTAGATAGTAGAGAAAATGCTGTCTCTGGAGTCTGAAAAAAGCTGTCAGACTCTACCTTTGGAACTTACTATGAGTACAATCCTTGGCAAGTCACCTAACATCTCAGTTTCCTTCTCTATAAAATGGGGGCACTGATAACTATAGTGCCTACATGTCTAGAGTGCTATGAGGCACAAATGAGCTCATATGTGTAAAATGATTTCCAATGCTAAAAAGGTTATAGAAGAGCCGGTTATTATGATGATAACATGGTTAGACCACTCCCCTCATCAGGGTCTAGTTCAAATACCTGATTCAGGAAGTGCTACTGGACTTGTGAGGATGGAATCTGGGAACAGAACATTTCTTCATTTGTGTTTGGAAATCCAAAGGAACTTGAATTCTCTCTAGAAACAATTAGGCAACTTTTAAATATGCCCTCCCAAGTAAACAGATGAGGTTTAGGAGAAACTCAAAGAGGGAGCAACTCTTACGACGACAGAGCTCCCCCACCCCTCCCCACCCACCCCCACATTCTTTGGCCTTCTTCCAGTTCTGAGATCTGGTTCTCCTGCTCACTACAAGCAGAGTTCAGACAAAGAGCTCGTGGTTCTAAAGGTCCTGAAACCACTGTATTTGCCTTTTGGGGATGGCAGTGCAGGCATTAACTCAGGGTCTGTGAGGCACAATCTTGGCTATCAACCAAGAAACCTGCCAGGCCTGTCAAAGCTGAGGCTTGCTCACTGACCCTTCTACCACCCTGTGCTTTTATCCATAGTTCACAAGATGTTTTATTAGAAAGACAAGGCTCAGGCAATCACACGTGTGGAGGTAGCAATCATCATAGGCTATTTCCCTTCTTTGAGGTTAATGCTCTCAAGGGCTTATGTAGCATGCTAACATTTGGGAAGTGTTTTATAAGCCCTATCACATGTAATCTTACAATTACATTAGGTAGTAATCTACTTTTTGAAGAATCCAAAGACTCTAGCTTCTGGGATAAGAACTAACTAATAAAAACTTCTGGGAACACTAGAAAATACTGTGGCAGAAACTAGGCACAGACCAGCACCTTATACTCTATACCAACATAAAGTCAAAATGGGTACGTGATTTAGATATAAAGACTGATACTATGAGCAAACTAGGAAAGCCAGGAATAGTTTACCTGCCAGATCTATGGAGATGGGAAGAATTTGTGACCAGACAAGATATAGAGAACATTATGAAATGCAAAATGGATGACTTTGATCACATTAAATTTAAAAAGGTTTTGCACAAACAAAGACAATGCAACCAAGATTAGAAGGGAAGCAGAAAGCTGGGAAACAATGTTTATAGCCAGTGTCTCTGATAAAGGCCTCATTTCTAGAATATATAGAGAACTAAGTCAAATTTTTAAGAATACAAGTCATTCCCCAATTGATAAATGGTCAAAAGATATGAGCAGGCAGTTTTCAGAGGAAGAAATAAAAGTTATCTGTAGTCATATAAAAAAAATGATCTAAATCACTATTGATTAGAGGAATGTAAATCAAAACAATCTGACATACCACATCACACCTATCAGATTGGCAACCTGACAAAACTGAAAATAATAAATGTTGGAGAAGATGTGGGAAAGTTGGAACGCTAATGCATTGTTGGTAGAGTTGTGAACTGATACAGCCATTCTGGAGAGCAATTTTGAACTATGCCCAAAGGGCTATAAAATTATGCATACCCTTTGACCCAGCAATAGCACTTCTAGGGCTATATCCCAAATAGATCATACAAATGGGAACAGGACCCACAAGTACAAAAATATTTATAGCAGCTCTTTTTTGTGGCTTCCAGGAATTGGAAAGTGAGAGGATGCACATCAATTGGGGAATGGTTGAACAAGTTGTGGCATACAAATATAATGGAATGCTATTGTGCCATAAGACATAATGAGCAGGCAGACTTCAGAAAAACCTGGAAAGACATACATGAACTGATGCTGAGTAAAATGAGCAGAACCAGGAGAACATTGTACACAAAAACGGCTACATTGCGTGATGACTGACCTGGATAGACTTAACCCTTCTTAGCAACATAAAGATCTAAGACAACTCCAAAGACTCATAATGGAAAATACTATCCACATCCATAAAAAAGAACCATGGAGTCTGAATCCAGAGCGAAGCAGACTATTTGCTGGTCTTTTCCTTTGTTGTTTTGTTTTATTTCTTCTTTCTTGTGGTTCTTTCCATTAGCTCTGATTCTTCTATACATCATGACTACTGTGAGAATATGCTTAATATGAATGTATAAGCAGAGCCTGTATCAGATTACATATCATCTTGGGGAGGGGGGAAGAGGAGGAGGAGGTGAAGAAAATTTAAAACTCAAAATCATATGGAAGTGAATGTTGAAAACTAAAAAATAAATGTTATTAGAGAATTTTAAAAAATACATTAGGAGGGAGGCACTACATGTGTTTTTGTCCCTCTTTCACACCTATGAAAATTGAGTCATGAAGTGGGTAAATAATTTTTCTAAGGTTACATGGCTAACAAGTCCCAGAAACAGGATCTTAAGGCCTCCAAGGCCATTGTTTCTTCTGGCAATCCCGACGTGCTGCCGAAGTAATGGGCATATAAGTAAATAAGGTGTCAGATGTGGGATTTGAATTTGGGTCCTCTGACTCTAAGTTCCTCATTTCTAGTTCTAACACCTCTTCACTGCATTCATTCTCTCCATTTCAGTGCTTTCATCAGTGATTCGGGCAGGTGGTTTGTTTTCCTAACCTCGATATAACCCAAGACTGGGAGGCACAGAACAGATAAGGATACAGAGAAAAGGCGATAACAATCAAGATTCAAAAATGAAATACATATGTGTGTATATGTGTATTTGGAATAATGAGATAAATGCCTTCAAAAGCCTTTATGAAGCACTTACTATTGGCCAGGTACTGTTATTAATGTTGAGTGATAGCAAGACTAATGAAATGGCCCTTGATTTCAATGAGCTTACATTTTCAGGAGAGAAGCATCTATAATACATATAAATACGCATACACACCTGAATGCACACCTTTAGATACATGTATTCATTTATTATACAGAACACAAAACAGATGCAAGTTGTTTAGTGATGAAAGGAGTTCACCTGTAGTTGCAGGATCAAGAAGGGATTCAGTTAGAAGTGAATGAGATAAAGAGGAGCAAGATTTTCTAAAGTGAATATGAGGAAGGACAATGTTCTAGGCATGGAATCTGCTGATGCAATGACTTGGAAATCAAACTAAAAGGATAAACTTTTAGAGCAATAAATGACATTTTTTTGGCGAGGCAATTGGCATTAATTGATTTGCCCAGAGTCACCCAGCTAGTCAAATGTGTCTGAGCCTGGATTTGAACTCCAGGCCTGGTGCTTGATCTGCTGCACCACCTAACTGCCCCTCAAGGTCAATTTCTAATGTAGGCTCCAGAAGTCAACTGGCTAGGAAAGTAAGAAAAACAACAACAACCGCCAAGCAAGCAACCAACCCGAGAGGGTCGCATGACTGCAGGCTCCATGGAGTCCACAGTGTGATATGCCTGCTGTGAGAAGCTAATTTAGTTGTCACTCGATTAGTAGAAACAGAGTATGCAGAGCAAGGTGGGTAATGATCCCATTTTAGCTTGCACTGTTTCTTGTTCTAAGTTGTTGCTTTTTTTTAAGTGCTAGACTCTATATGTTCAGGGGTGCTTTGAAAAATGCAAGAGGCAAAGGTCTTCCTCCAAGAAAGAGAACATTAGAGGGGTGGAGAACAGCCTGGGCAAAGATGTGAAAATGGGAGGTGGAGGATTTTGTGCAAAAAAAAAAAACATCAAAGAGCAACAGTGAATCACAGAGTCCATGGATGGAAGGAAGGTATAAGATGATGAGGAAGTTGAGAAGATACAGAAGTATGAAAGGGTTCAAGAGACAAATGGTTTTATCTTTGATCCTGGGGCTGACAGAGCTTACTGAATAGGGCTAGCTGTGGCATGGTCAGGCATGCCCTTTAGGGAGATCACGTGATATAGAGAAGTTTTGAATGGAAGAAGGATTGAAGTGGGGAGGAGAAGGGGAAGCTAATTAATGAGAATTAACTAAGCACCTGTTGTAGGCCAGACCCTACGTGAGGTGCTAGTGACGCAAATGCAAAAGTCCAAAAGTCTCTGACCTCAAAGAGTTTACATTCTTTCAGTGAAGTTGTAGATGAATATAACGAATCTATACGCATATATGGGTGTATATATGTGTGTGTGTGCACATATATGTGAAATATGTATTACATACATACACACACATGTATTTATTAAATGCCTTGGTTATGTGTTAAGGTCTTTGGAAGCTCTATACTAGATCAACATGTTTGACAATTTTATAAGTTCATGATTTTGAAATTTTTGGATTCAGAACTGGTGAGTTTCATTATTATTTTTGTTGTCATTTGCATACAACGTGAAATGAAGAGTCTTCCTATTTTGATCTTTGCAGATTCTCTTTTAATCTTTGGGAGTCAATTATATTGATATATAAAGTGAATGAAACATTTCTGCCTCTGTGGCCCTCTCGTGAAATTTGAACTGAGGTGTCTTGGTAAGCAGGCAGAGGAAATCTGCTTCAGGTAGGTGAGCAATAGGAACCTTGAGGCTAGTTTGTATAATAGAACCAAGCTCATAGGTGGCAGTACTTCTGTGAGATGTCAATTTGAAAAGGAATCATGGGTACATCATATCTTCAGACTATTAAACTATTAAAAACAAGTAACTATTAAAAACAAAGAACTATAACAAATAACAAAAAAAAAACCTTATCAAAACCAAAAAAAAAAAAAGCAAAGCAGTTATTCCTTATGTTATGCATGGATTGTACTTTTTTCACCTTCTTCCCATTGTTCCTGATTCAAATTATGGGAATTCCAAGGTAAGAGAAGTCTAAGAGATCATTGATTCCACCTCACTTAATTTAAAAATGAAGAAAATGTCTTAGTGAAGGTCACACAGCAAGTTAGTGGAAGCCACACTACTAGAACCCTGCTGTCCCTGGAAGCATCCACTAATTAAATCACCCTGAACTTCTCAATTGACTGTGTCTCCCCCAGGAACTGACCTGATAAACACAATGGCCAGCAGTGACGTGGGCTGCCCTGTGGATCCTTGAACAAGCCGTGTAATTATTATGGCGTTTTCACCTGCTGTCTCCCATGTCTGAAATGCTCTCCCTCCGTACCTCCCAATGACAATGTGTTCTCTCTGAAGGCAGAGATTGTTTTTTGCTTTTCCTTATATCCCCAAGGCTTAGTACAGTACCTGCCATGTAGGAGGTACTAAATCAATGCTTGTTGACTGAATGAATGATGGGGTTCATTAGAACTCAGCTTGTCTCTTCTAGTTGGGGAAGACAGATTTCTTTTCTCCATATCCCATAATTGCAAGTTGCTTAATTTAAGTATCCAGTACCAAAAATCTAAATAAGAAGTTCTCTTTCCATTTGTCTCCTTTCCAGATGGAAGTTTTGCCATTTGATGAATCAGTATTAACAAAGCAAGAACAATATCTTCTTGTTCCTAGGGTTAACAGGTGGAGGCTGGATATGCTCACTTAGAAATAGGAAGATCTATTTTACTGTGAAGGTTTTTATAGCCCCACTTCAGTAAGAGCACAACTTTGAGTAATACAGAGAAATCTGGGTCAGTTTCACCCACAGATAATCCCTAAATAAAATCACTTGGTGGCTTTGAAAACTTGTTTTCATTTTCTTCTTTCATTTTTCCTGGGGCCTCCAGGCTCAGCAAAGTATCAGGAAAGGCATCAAGTTGAAAAAACAGGTGTCTCCTGGGCTTCAGAGCCCCCTAAAAGAAGAATCAAAATGCATTCCCAACAGTACAGGCCCTAATCTTCCCTTGTGCAAAATTCAGGTCAAGATGTGTGATTTCTCCCAACCCCCCTTTTCTTCCGGTTCAGGTGTGCTCCAAAAAGTCCAAAGGAAATGAAGGCTCTCAGAATCAGAATATAATTCAATTCTGGGTCTGATCAAGAATTCTCTCTCCAACTCCAACATATATAGGATCATAGGATTCCCAGAATGAGAGCTGGAAGGGACTTTAAAGGCCATCTAGTCTAATGGCCTCATGTTACAGATGAGTAAACTGAGGCATCCAGAGAATTAAGTGATTTGACCAAGGTCACATGATTGGTGACCATAGAGCTAGTCCACGGAGATACTATGGAGAGTCATGTGACTGCCCTCCCAGTACTCTTGTTTTTGCCTGACAACAGCTTCATTTTCTGAAGTGGCCAATGTGCCCAAGAGAATATCACCTTACTAAACCCTTCTTTGTTGACATTTCTCCTCTGAACTCTAGTCTGTAATGGGGCCTGCTGATTTTCTTTTCCATCAAAAGTAGATTTTAAAATAAGCTGTGCTTCTGTTTTTTATTTGTTTGTCAATGTCAACTATTTCTTTTAGAAGAAACAACTACAATCTTGTTATGCACAGACAATGGAATCATTACCTGCACAAAGCTGACATTCAAATGGTAGAAACAACCAGATCATATATGAACATACACAAGAAACAATGCATTAAGTAGAATAAATCCACAAGAAATCCAAGGGAAGTGACTGTAAGGGACAGCTGCCCCGGGTAACTGGGGCATAGGCAAGACTTCATGGAGAAGGTGGAATTCGTCTGAAGTTTTGCAAAATCCTGCAGAATCTGAGAGGGGCAGATAAGGAAGGAGTGCTTTCCAAGCATGGAGGATAGCCAGCAGAAAGGTTGGTGATAGGAGGTGGAAAGGCGTGTATGAAGACCAGAGAGACTAGCTTGTATGGATCACAGAGCACAAGAGGAAAAGCATTGTACAACTGGGGGAAAAAAGAGGTTGGGGCCAGGAATGTAGGACAATGATTTCAAACTTGTAGACCAAATATTGACTTAGAAAACCACAAATTAACCTTATCTATGTTTTATTTTTAAGTTTTACTTTGTTAAACATTGATCAGTTACCTTTTTAATCTTCTTCCAGCCATACTTGGAGGGGAGAGAGAGACAGAGAGACAGAGATATAGAGACATATGGAGAAACAGAGACAGAGATAGAGAGGGAGAGAGAGAGACAAGGATAGAGAGATAGAGATAGAGAGACAGAGAGGGAGAGACAAAGAGAGAAAAAGAGGGGGAAAAAGAGAAACAGAGACAGAGAGATAGAGAGACACAGAGTGAGAGAAACAGAGACAGAGACAGAGACAGAGAAACAGAGAGAGAAATACACACACACACACACAGAGAGAGAGAGAGAGAGAGAGAGAGAGAGAGAGAGAGAGAGAGAGAGAAAGAGAGAGAGAGAAAATTTATAACTGATTTTAGAGCTAGTAGGGAACTAGTGGAGTTGCCTAAAGAGATAAATAGAAGAGTAATACTGTCAAATCTGTGCTACAGAAAATCACTTTGGCAGAAGCTAAGGGACTTGAAGGAAGTGGGAAGAGATGATGCAGGGATCCTTACTGGGAAGCTGATAGAATTATCCAGCCTAGAGGAGTTGAGGGTTGATGACAGAAGGGTTAACAGTAGTTCAGTCTACAAGGTTACCACCATCCATGTTATGCAGACTGAGCTCCAAGTGGCTAACTGATTCCTTCAGTCATGCTCACAACCCATGTCAGTCATCTCAAGCTACATGCTAGATGCTGCTTTGATTGAATCAATTACAGAGTCTGTTGTAGTTATATTTTGAATACAAAAAAAGGTGTTCAGTATCCCCCAAACTGTGCCTGTTCTGAACCCTGAAACATCCCCACAATAGCCACTGTATCTACTGTTGGGTATGATTTCCCATTGGCAAAATCATTTTCTCTCGATGTTTTCACTGATCCTCACAGTGCCTCTCTCAATGAAACAAAGAATGCTACTCTTAATGTATGTAGATAATAGAGCTTAAACGATTTGCCTCAAGTAACACAAGAGATCAGATATGGGTCCAAGAATGAACTATAGGCCTTTTTTTTTCCATTGCATCAATCTACCTTTCTCTTGCCAGATCATCCCCAAACCTCTCCCATGGGCCATGTACTCTTTGAAACAATATGTGAAATTAGCCAGCAGCTGCCTTACTATGAGTACCTCTTTCTTTTCTTTTCTTTTCTTTTCTTTTCTTTTCTTTTCTTTTCTTTTCTTTTCTTTTCTTTTCTTTTCTTTTCTTTTCTTATTAATAATTTAGATAATCTGACCTCTGCCAAAAGCACATCAATATTTCTGGTCACTTTCACTAGCATAGATTAGAAATATTGTCCCAGAAAATTCCGCATTCCCTGGGCCTCTTCACAGAAGCAGAGAATTTCAGAGTTGGAAAGGGTCTCAATGGCCATCCAGACAAGCCCATGAAATAAGGAGAAATTCCATGGTGACACACCCTACACATGATCGTCCTGGACTTGCTTCAAGATCTCCATACACTGGGAAGGCCTCAAAGCAGCGCACACTGCTTTTGAATCACTTTAATTGTTGGGAAGTTTTACCTTCCATCTCACCAAAAATTGGTCCCTTCGAATTTTACCCATTTCTCGTAGATTGGCTCTTTGGGACTAGGTAGAACATGCCTGATCTCTCTTCAATAAGAATCAATCAAATCCTGGTAGACAGCTATCATGCCTCCATTGACTTTTTTTCTCCAGGCTAAAGAATCCCATTTTCTTTAACAGATCACCAAAAGATATGACCTCCAATCCTTTCACCATAATCCTCTCCTCTGGGCATGTTCTAATATATCAAATTCCTCCTACAAATAGTGTCCTAAAGTGAATCCAATACCATATATGTGGCCTGAATAGGTCAGAGTAGAGAGGACACATTGCCTCTCTAGTCCTGTATGCAATAGCTTTCTCAATGAAGCCTAGGTTAACGTTAGCACTTATCAATATGGACTTGTTTCTGGTCATTCTGAACTATTGTGAGGATGAAGAGGACATCACCTCAGTGGAAATTAGTGTAGATTACTAAGTAATAAAGCACAATTGCCCTTCTGATGAAAAGAGTTCCTGCCTGTGTCAATGCTACCACATCTTTTTATCTTATCTCTATTATCCAATTTTCAGTTTTCAATAGGTTTTATTAATACTTACTTTTTAGGGAGATACCCTAATGAGAAAGCAGTCTATCTGGTTACGGACCCAAATCCTAATAATGGAGAGTTCATCAGCCAATGTGAAATGAGGAAACACACAGTTTGGCTGCCCATTGTAACAGTGACTCACAGGAACAGGTGTACCTCAATTATATTCAAACATAGATTGTCCTAAGTATGTCTCAGAAGGAAATTCTCCTTCAATATCTCATAATGAATCTCTAAGTTCAAAGATTCCATTAAAGCTTGTCATGAAAGGTTCAGATTGGGTTACACTGAACTTAATAGACATAAAGAAAACTTGGAATTATTTCTTGAGCACCTTCCAACAAGTGAGGAAATGGAAGCCAAGGGAGATGAGGTTACTTGCACAAGGTCACAAAGACCCTAAAAAGAATTAAACAAATGTCTCCTCCTGAACACAAGAATTTCCAGTTTACTAGCATGGAACAGGCAAGACAGTCTGAAACATATTGAAGGGATTCAAAATAATGACTGATAAGCCACCACTGAAGTACCTGGGGTGACTCATCTAGAGAAGAAGAAACTATAGGAATACATGATAAGTATATCAAATATTGCAGAGGTTCCATGAGAAAGAAGTATTTAATGTTTTTTGTTTGGTTCTCAAGATTAGAACTAGGATTTGTGGGTAAAAGTTACAGAGAGGACAGTTCATGTAAGGAAAAGTGTATCCACAAACAGAACTATCTAAATGCAGGAAGTGCTGCCTTTGGTGGCAGTCCTCTTCAGCAGGTAGCCGACTGAGGTCTTCCCTTGGGATCAGGAAGTTTTCTCGTTGTTGGTCCTTTCAGTTGTGGCCGACCCTTCATGACCCCATTTGGGGTATTCTTGGCAAAGATACCAGCTTCCCCAGCTCCCTTTACAGACAAGGATCTCAGGCAAACAGGGTTAAATCACTTGTCCCTGGTCACACAGCTATTAAGTGTCTGAGGCCAGTTTTTAATTCAAGTTTTCCTGACTCTGGGCCTGGCACTCTATCCATTGTGCCATATAGCTTTGCCTCTGGAATCAGGAAGACCTGAGTTTAGATCCTGTCTCAGACAATTCAGTATCTGTGTGATGTGGCAAAGTTATTTAACCTCTTTAAATCTCAGTTTCCTTATCTGTGGAATGAGGAACATGATAGCACACAACTCAAAGAAGTGTTGTGACACTATTCTGTATACCTTAGAGTCATATATAGATATCAGCTATTTTGTATTATTGATGTTGCTGCGACTGTTTCTACTACAACTACTACTAATACGGTGAGTTCCCAGGCCTTGAAGGTCTTTTAAAGACATATATGAGCATATATTAGGAGGTTGCTGAGAGGATTTCTGTTTCAGATTGGACTCGATAACTGCTAGATGCCTTCCAAATGAGAGATGTTATGATTCCGGGATAAAGTGGAATAGACCAAAGAAAAAGTTTTCTTACCTAACGATGATGAGAATAGAATCTGGGAAATTCACTTATATGAGGGTCTCCCTGAAAAACCACCTTAGAGGTCTTTTTCTTCCTCTTTGGCATGAAACAGACATAAGTATTGCTCCCCCAAAGCTTGTAGTTCTCCTATTGGCTGTAAAGGACATTGTCATTGACCAGAATGCTCACCTTCCTCCTTTACCTCTTAGAATCCCCAGATAATTTCAAGCTCAGCTAAGGTGCTTTGTCCTGCACCACAGCATTTTTTGAGCTCTCATTACAGAGTCCTTTTTTCAACCTCTTGAATAACATTTTTTATACATTTTTACCAAAATAATGTCAAATAATATATTAATTTTACCAAACATTATGTGTACACCAAAACAGTATGTGTACATATATATATGTGTGTGTGTGTGTGTGTGTGTGTGTGTGTGTGTGTGTGTATGTATATATATATGAATATATGCATGTATTAAAATTACTTTTATATGTTTGTATACAGATTTTTTTGACTCTCTGTGGGCATGTTTTATCTAGTGAGTAAGCTCCTTGAGGGCAAGCCCTGTTTGCCTTTTGTCTTTGTGTGCCCAGCACCTAATACAGGGTCGGGAACATAATGAGTGCTTAATAAAGGCTTGTGAAATTGGAGTGAATACTTACCTGAATAAGAATCCTTCCTGCCATGTTCCTTGCCAAGCGGCCATCTGGTTTCTGATTGCAGATCTCTACCAACAGAAGACCCATTATCTCCCAAAGCTGCCCATTCCTCTTTTAAGATTATAACTTTTAATTTTCTTTCTCATGTCTTCCCTTGCTTTGCCTCATGAGGGCAAAGGAGGAAAACTTCAAACTCTTTCTCAATAGCTAATTACCTGTCTCAATCCTTTCCAAATGCACCTCTTCTTCCAACTACTTAAAGAGTGCCCTCATTTCCTCCCCAGTCTTCTCTTTCCCAGTTCCTTCAATTAGGCCTCATACAACATGTCCTTGAAAGCCTTCAGAATCTTGCTCAATGTACACTCAACAGTCTCCATATTATCGATGTCTTTTCTTCATTGGCAGAAAATTCTATCCCACATGCAGCTTGAGTAAGACCGAGTGTAATAGGACTATCACATATCTGGTCATTCACATTATGCCCATCTGATTTCAGATTAAGTTAACACTCACTTTTTTAGATGTCATATCAAACTATTTGCTTATATATAGTTTATAGTTCATTAAAATCACCAATTTTTTTTTATTTATGTGATCTACTTTCTAGTTTTTCGTCCTCTGCCTCTAATTCTGCCAGTGTCTTTTGATTCTAAACGTATAACTTTCCACATACCTCTATAGAACTTTGTCTTATTGGATTTGGCCCAATCTTCCAGCGTGACCAGCCCTCTTTGGATTCTGCTTCTGACCTCCAGGCTACCAGGTGGGAAGGCTAGTGTTGTGTCATTTGCAAATTTGATAAGCATTCCATCTATCTATAATTCAAGTCAGTGAAAAGATATCTAAGCAGAACAGAACCAAGAAGAGATCACTGTGCCAGTCCACTGGAGACATCCTTCTAAGCAATAGTGAGAGGCCAATGCCTATGTGCTAAGTGCAGCCATTCAACGAGTCTACACTCCATCTGTCTCATTTCCATTTCTCCAATTTTTCCATAAGAATAAAAAAAACATTTTTGGTAATGTGTCCCTTCCATTGTACCCTCTGGAATTTTCATCCTATAGTGAATGAGTGAATGAATGAATGAATGAGAAAATCTGTTAAGTGCTTACTATTCACAAAGCTTATGCTAAGTGCTAAGAATCCAATAGAAAATGAAGACCATCCCTGTACTCAACAAGCTCTCATTCTATGACAGGGAGGTGACAGATATAGGAAGACCTAGCTTCAAGCTGGAGAGAAAGACTCTTTAGTACATAGGCCATAGTGGCGAAGCAGAAAATGATGACTCCTCTTTTATATTATTTTCAATGAAAAACTATATCCTTGTCTGTTATTGACCATTTTTTCAGTGCCAAGGACATATGAGGAGAGAACTTTCCTTTTCAGATTGTCAGCCCCTGTGGATGTTGAGGCAGAGGCTGCAGGGCCTGCTCTATGATAGTCCTTGGGAATGGTTGGTGGTGATGATGGAGGCAAGGAGTGCAGGCGCATTCTCCACAGGAGTTCCTTCTCTAAATCAGGGATGTGGGGGCAAGGCTTCAGACAGAGTCAATGTTCTGGAGTGCCCTGCTAGTTGGTACTCTGTCCTATTCAGACATCTGCTAAAATAATGCAACTAGGCTTGGGTGGCACATTTTTGAAATTTTGAGTGTGTCCAGAAGAGGGCAGCAGGAATCATAGAAGCCCTTAATATTATGATAAACAAGGTCTGGGGAAAATAATTGAAGACATTTTCCCTGGCAAAAAGAAATACACTTCCCCTTACCAGGAGCTCTTTTGACCCACTCCTTCCGTCTCCTGGCTATCATTGAGACATGGCTCCCCCAGGTGACACTGCATCCCTGGGCCTGCTCATCAGCCTTGAGTGTGCCTTTACCCACATTTCCATAGACAATCCTTCTGGAGGGAATGTGAGAACACACATTGCTTCCTAATGCCACTTCCCATCTTTGTCTTTACAGCTATTATCCAGCAATCTTTCATCTATGAAGTTCAAAGTAACAAAATTTTGTACTTAAATCTAGATAATGTTGGCTCTTATATACCAGCTCTTAGACTACACTCCCATTTTTCTTTCCCTAGGAGATCAGCCCTGGCTCATCATCTTTGTCTGCTCCCACTTCCTGCCCTTGTACTATGTGATTTAAGCACTTATGCTATGGTGCCCTCAAATTTTCTAACTCCTCCCAATATTTCCTAAATCTCCCATTTTCTCCCTCTCCTAAAATCATATGACCTACTCCTTCATCTCACCTCAGGCTTCTATAGGAAAAGACACAGCATAGATTGCATCATTACCCACAGGGATGGCGCTTGACTAACTAAAACCTGCCCTGCTCCTCTTAAATCTAAGTGCACCTCATTGATTTCCTTGGGCAACTCCCAATGTTCTTTATCACCCAAACGTTTTGTCTTTGTGTTTTCAGAATGTCATTCTTCAGTTGCATGGCCATCTTAAACTGACTTTCCCTTTTGAAAATTAGCTTTTGAGATTCTTCCATTTCTTCCCCTGACCTTTCAGAATCTGCTCTCCCTAAATCTAGGACAAACATCAGACGATTTGTGATTTTCTTCTTCATCTCACTCACAAAATTCTATATGAAATGACTATTTTCCTCCAAGATTCCCATCATTTCTATTCCAGCAATTACTTCGAATTTCAGATCTAGAATAAAATTTCACTATTTTAAGAGTTAGTTGGTGCAGAGGATAAAGTGCTGGGCCTAGTCAAGAAGAGTTAAAGCCAGTTCCATACACTTACCAGCTGTGTGTCCCTGAGCAAGTCACTTAACCTGTTTGCCTCGAATTCTTCAACCATAAAATGGAGATCATTATAGCACCTGCCTTATAAGGTTGTTATGAGGATCTTAGCATAATGTCTGGGACATAATAGGTACTACATAAATGCTTATTCCCTTCCTGCCTTCCCCTTTTGAGAGGAGGGAAAAAGAAAGGAGAGGAAAAAGGAGAAGGAAAGGAGAGGAGGAGGAGAATGAGGAGGAGGAGGAAGAACAGGAAGGGGGAGGAGAGAGAGAGAGAGAGAGAGAGAGAGAGAGAGAGAGAGAGAGAGAGAGAGAGAGAGAGAGAGAAAGAGAGAGAGAGAGATACAGCAGATATCCAGTTAATTGAAATTCTTCATCAACCATGCTTTTGTACTATGCTTGTGATATCTTTCCCAACTCATCATCTATTTCCTCACTACATCCAGGTTGCCTCCAGAATTCTCTGATGGTGATATAGCTTCTGTTTCTGTGTCAGCTGATCTTCATCCAAATGGTGTCAGTGAACCTTCCCCTCTCTGGTTTGTGGATTCCCCTCATGAATCTATCTTCTTAACACACAATGCTTACTTCTCTACCATATCATGTTTCATCTGGTTATAATAAACTCTTCCAAAGTCATGGTTCTTATTGCACATAGATTCATACCCATATGGAAAGCAAAAACAATAGCTTACATGCATGTCCAAAAGGACTTCACATTCTCCTGCAAGGAAGGTGCTCAGCAGTGTACAAATAAAAGGTATTTATATCTACAAAGGCCCATTTTAGGTTAGTCGTTTGCATGCATAGTTTTCACTTTCTGATCAAAGAAGCAAGACAAATGTGTCTCAAGGGACTGCATTTTTCCTAGAATTGGTGTCAGGGAGGAATTTATTGGCTGAGTCCTCAAATGAAGACAGTGAGTGACAGATATAGAGACAATGCTTCCAACTCTGCTCTTACAAAAGGTCCTCATAAAGTCCCTGTTGTCTCCCCCTGCCTCCACCCACTGTTAAACATCTGACCTCCCAGCATGAGAACACCCACAACTTTGGGGCTGCCATCTCACACTTTACAGACTCCACATAACTGAAGGGAAGACAGTGAAACCCTGGAAACATCCAAGTTCTCTGCCCATTTTTCCCCTAGTCACCAAGGCTCACACCTTTGAAGCTTGGGTAGGAAATGTACTGGTAGAAATAGGCTAATGCTGCATTCCTTCCTTGTATCCCTGAGATTAGCCTGTACCTAGTCATGACTTCCTCTTGGGTGATATTTTTCCCTCTTCAACTTGTGAATAAACAAGTTTTGTATCCTAGAAGAGCAGGGGACTCACCTGTGAACATTGTGCCCAAGTGTCTGCTCTCCTGTGTAGTGACTGATATTCCCAGGAAGGCCCTGTCTGATGATAAGTACATGTTTCAGCCTGGCTGTGTGACCTTTTAAAAATGTGTCTTGGTAATGGAAATCTGTCCCTCCTTAAAGGGAAAACAGCACATTGATACCAAAAGAATACTGGATCCATATTCAAGAGATCATAGGTGTGAATTCTACCTCTCATGCTCGGTGGCTGGCTGACCCAGGGTAAGTCACAAGCTTTCTCACCCGATTTTCTCATCTCTACAATGGGGACAAGTAATTCCTATAAATCCTTACCTTCTAGGGCCTTTGGAGGGATTAAATGAGCTAATTTACATGAAGGGTTTTGCAAACCCAGAGTCACTACCTAAATGATAGCTATTGTTACTAAAAATGGCAGTGCCACAGTGGGGGCTTTCTTCAAGTAAGTTCATCAGACCCAAAGGGCTGTGCCAGAAAAGGAGCCCCAGCCCAAAGGGTAGCCATGACTTCCTCTTTCCATCCAGTCCAGGAAGGGCCTGGCCTTTAGACTGAGAGTAATTTCACTTTGTCAAGACTTAATTTCTTCATCTTTAGCCTGGGAGTAGGACCCCACCCCACCCCCCCAAGAGTATTGCTTTGAAGATCAAATAGCTAAATTCACGTCAAAGGATCTGCAAACCTTGATCTATCTAGAAATGTCAGTCATTATTTAATTAATTAAGTCAGTATTTTTGAGGATCTCTTGGAGTCTCCAGCGGGCCTTAAAAACTGCCAATAGGCTCACTGTGACTTTGGGGTCCATCCAGGACTAACTCATAGACAGACACTGTCATCTATTTCCTCCTCTGTAATTCCCAAGAGAACTGTCCTCCCACGAAGTTCCTTCCAATTAGTCAGTCAACAAACATTTATTAAGTAGGTACTATGTGTCAGGGATGGTATGAAGCACTGGCTAAGGATTTCCGAATTTTCTCTCTAGCCACTCTTTCTCATGAGCTCCATGATCACATGAGGCATTACCAATTGGACATCCTGACCTGACCATACCAGAGATATCTCGACCTCCCAAACAGAACCCGTCATCTTTCCCCACAAACTAATTCCTTTTCCAATATTCCTTATTTCTATTCGGGGTGCCATAAACCTCTCAGTCACACAGGTTCATAACCTGGATATTATGCTTGACTCCTTACATTTATACAGCATTTGCAAATATGATATTATTTTATCCTAACAACAACCCTGGGAGGTAGGTGCTATTATCACCCCATTTTATAAATGAGGAATTTAGCACAGAGACATGTTCATTGAATTGTCTAGGGTCACGCAGCTAGTAAATATCAGAGATGGGATTTCAACTCAGGACTTCCAAACCCTCAGTCCAGAGCTCTATCAACTATGCCCATCTAGCTGCCTCCATAAAATATCTGAATAAGTCACCAAATCTAACCGTTTCTATCTGCACACTTGAATCCCATCTCACCCATTCCCTCCAATCACATACTCCACTCCCTTAGTTCAGACCCTAATTAGCTCTTGTCTGAACTATCGTACATCACATAGTTGACCTCCCTGTCTCGTCTCTCTCTCATCTCCAGTTTATCCTCCACACAGGGGCCAATGAACTTTCCCCTAAAACTCAGATCTGACCATTGAGCTTCCCTTTTTAATAAACCCAAGGGCTCTGGTTTCTAAAGCCCTTCATAAGCTAGTTTGCCAGCCTCTTTATACATCACTTCTTCTGCCCCTCCATGGTTTGGCCAACCTGACCTTCCCTCTGCTCCTCACCTATGACCTGGCATGGGCTAGCTTCTCTAGACCAGAAATGTGCTCCCTTCTCTTGTTTCCCTCAAGTAACCTCACTTGCTTTGAGATGAAGGTTCAATGATACCTTCTGTGCAGAGGTTTTCCTGCTCCCTGCCCCTCTCCACCACAGGCATTTGTTAGTACCTAACCTTCCTAATCATATTTGCCTTACTTTTCTTTTTTCTTTTTTTTTGGCAGTGTATGTGTAATGGATAGAGAGCTCTCTTCGGTGTCAGGAAGACCCTGGTTCAAGTCTTATGTCTGAATGGGCAGGATGTGTGACTATGAACATGTCCCTTAAATAGTCAAGGCCCTAGGGCAGTGGTGACAAATTCAAATAGAAACTGATCTGTAAAGACCTTACACAGACAGAAACCTCAAATTAACATTAACTACATTGTATTACATTTTATTCAACACTTCCTAATTACATTTTAATCTGGTTTGGCTTCATTTGGGAGTTGAATGGGCTACTGTAAGTGTGACAAATCTGCTTTAAAAATTCCCTAACACTATAAATCACAGAGCAAATGGCTCCTTTCATTGGAGAAGGGAGTTTTCTCACTGGCAAGTTTCCTAGACCAATGAAATCAAAGAAGCGAAGCCTATCCCTACACAAAATCTACTTACACCTATGCAGGTCCAGATTTTCTTATCCAATGTAACATAAACTCTTTGAGGGTCAAGACTGTTCATTTGTCCCCTTGGTATCCCCACCTCCTACAACACCTAGCTCAAAGTTAGTGCTTTATAAATGCTTTGTTGATTGGTATTGCTAATTGATTAAGGTCATTCCAGGGAATATAGACTAAAAATGCTATGACATATCACTAGCCTGCTATTATTATTTTCTACTTAATATTCTACAAATATGATGCAGATGAAGGGACTACTTTTTGTAATGCAATTCAAGTCCTGAGATGTGAGTGTATCCATCATGGGCTCCCTAAAGGCATCCTTGGCACAAATCTAGCAGCAGGAAGGAATGCATCCCAGTCCTATGTGGCCATGATTTCTTCTACTAGACGTTTTCATTTTGCTAACTTTTTAATCCATTCAGTTTGAAGATGACAAGTATTTGATAGACTGGCAGCAATTTCTAATACTGTTCATGAACTTTTATGCATCCATAATATGTCCAAGCAATTGTAGATGTTAATTCTATCTGAGAAAAAAAAAATCTCTTTTCCAGTACAATTTGTTCATCTCAATATTTCAGAGTTTTCATTTATTTTACAGAGATTCATTCTCTGTTAGTTTTATGATGGATAGTGAGCATTTGGGACATAATTGTGGTCACTTCCTCATGTCCTTCTAGATATTCTAGTTATCTTTTGCTAGTTAAGCAGTCATTATTGTTCTTATTACTACCCCTTCATCATCTGCAACAGAAAATAGTACATAAAATGTTTTTTTTTTTAGTGACCAAGGTTTTACTACTATTGATCATGAGTGCAGTAGGTCAACCTATCCAGATATCTTCATCAATGAAGCTTCTTGTCTTTGGGATGAAGAATTGAACCACATTAACCAATCCATTTCTTTTTCTCTCCAAGAGCCTTCTTTTCCTTAAGCACCATCTTTTCTTTTGATTGATAATTGAATCATATACATTGCCCTGGGAGGAGTCTGGGTCCAACCACTTCATTATGTAGATGAGGACATCAAGACCCAAAGGCACTAAGTAACTCCCTACAAGGTCACAAAAGCAGTAAATGGCTAAATTGGAATTTGAATTCAGATCTTGTGATTCCATAGAGGTTTTTTTGTTTTCCTGTACCATACTATCCTTTTGTTTTTCTTTCTGGTTTCCAGTTTTGTCAAAATTGTTAAGATTCATTTCTTCCAGGGATATGTCTCCTCACTGACCATTTGACAAGGATCTTACATTTAAACTACCAATAGCACAGTCAAAGTTAATAGATAATCTCAAAACTGTACCATTGTTAGCGTCTTCTGTCTTTTTCCCTGCAAATCTGTCATGGTCACTGCAGAAGTTGAAGGGAGACCCACAAGACTTCATTTATTTTTGCTTCATAGGTTGCCATGGCCAGGGAATTTACATCAATTTGCTAAGCTTCTGACAGTGAGCCTTTCTGGACATAGATGGTTGGTTCTTGGGGATATGAGCTGCCTAATTCCTTGGAACACACTCAAGTTCTTTCCATCATGGTAGAACCTGACAAAGCTTTAGACTAATAAAACATGATCAACCGCAGACCCTTATGTGCACTTTGCTATCTATATAAAATATATTTGGGAATGATCCACACTAATACTTAGAAGACATGTTCATAAAGGTAAAAGTAAGGAAAAGTTAGGTGTTTTTAGAGTGATCTTACGTGATGGTCCTCATTTTTGCCATCATACAACTGACTGAAGAAATGCATGGCATTAATGATCCTCAATTGCTCATTGTTTACAAACTATTAAAATATACATTT